ATTATATTCTATACCTAGAAAAAGAAATATAGTAATATTTATATAATATTAATAGTTATAATTATTTATTAAAAGTAAATTTTTAAATAATATTATTTTTATTTTTATAAAATTATAGTATATTATATATTATAAGATTTAGTAATATAAATAATTAGTTAAATTTAAATAATATTCTAATATTATAAAAATACTTAGAGATCTAAGTTTTTATAATATTATAAATTTATCTATAAAAATATTAAAATCTAGATTATTAATAATTAGTTAGGTAATATAATCAGTAAGTAAGTGGTATATATAAATAGGCGGCGGGCTTACCACTAAAATAATTACCCTTATTAACTTAAAGTTATTAAATTATTAATAAACCGACTAAAAATACTTGTATTATTGAAAAAATACAGTTAAACAAAAAGGTATACTTATCTTAGTAATTAAGATTTTTAACAAATAAGAAATTCTCTTTGTATATAAAATAGTAAGAATTTTTATAATTTTAAAGATAATTTTTTATAAATATTTAAATAAAGTTAAATCTTAAGCTAATATATATATTAATTTATATAAATTAATTCCTATAAAGAAGAAATTATTAGAATAATAAATTTTTTTTATAAATAAATAAGAAATCTTTTCTATATTTATATATATCTATTCTATAGCTGAAATCTTAATTTAAAAGTATAGTACTACTACTATAATAAATAGTAGTTATAAATAAATATATAACTTTATTAATTAATATAATTTCTTTAAATTATGATTTTTATATTAATATAATTATAAAAAGGCTTATTATAAGAATCTAGTAATTTTTTATAAATATTTTAATTATATTTAAACTACTATATTAGAATACAGAATTATTAATTAAAATATTTATAACTTTAATAAAACTAATTTTATTATAGACTTAGTTATAGTTATATAAGTTATTATAAGATCTAATTATATAAATAAGCTATTTCTTCTATAATCTAGAAATTATAAATAAATAATAATAATTAAGTATATTAATATCTTAGACTAGGCTTTATCTTTATACTTAATTTCTAAAAAAAGAAACCTATATAGAGGTCTGGTATCAGGATAAAGTATTTTTTATATAAAAAGATAATTTTTTACTAAACAGCTGGACTAATAATAGAATTAGATTATATTAATTTTAAGAATATTTTATTTTTTTAATAAAACTATAGAGGATCAGCTGATATAACTTTTTAATTTTTAATAAATATAACTTTTATTTAATATCTTATTTTAATAAGATCTATAGTTAAAATAGTATTATTTTTATTTATATATTTCTGTACTTTTTATATCTTTATTAATTATTAGATATTATCTATTTTTTATTCTTAAAACAGGTATATAGAGGCTTAATTAAAAACTTAATTTTAGTAAATATTTATTATATTAATAAAATTAATTTTCTTATTATATATTTAGATCCTTATTTACTTATTTTTGAAGTTTTAATAATTTAAAGTAATTTTTTTATTTTAGGCTTAATACTTTTCTAGTCTTAAAGAATACTTAAACAGTTTATATATTATTTTTTTAAGATTATTTTAATTAACTAATTAAGTACTATGTTAACTATACTAAAAATATCTATAAATATAAGATAATTAAGGAAATATAAAACTATAATTAAAAGATTATTTTATAAATATATACTAAGTCTATTAATACTAATATAATTAGTTTTAATATATATAATTAAAAACTGTAAGATTATATTCGGCTGGATAATTCTATTTAAATATAAAAATTACTAATTACAGACTATAAAGAGATACTAAAAAAAATAAAATTATTATTAGATATTTAATCTATATACCTTTACTATTAATAAGATAATTAAAGTTTTTTAGTAAACTGATAAGATTATTAAAGAATCTAGGATTAAGATATCTTAATAAAAAACTAATAAAGAATTATTTTATTACTATATACTACTGCAGTGATTAGACTATAATTAAATTAGTTATGAATATATAAAGTACCCTGTAAGGGATTAATACCAAGAAAACATAATTTTAATAGTATAAATATATTAATTTTTAGTTTTAAAATATATATAAACCAGAATACTTGGTAGGGTGTGCCGCCCACTTACATATACCACTCACTTAACAATTATGTTAATAAAATAGATAAGAATATTATAAATATCTTATATAATTTAAAGTTAATATTCTTATTTTATAAATATCTAGATATGAAATATACTTATCTAATAATTTAGATATAATAATTAAATTATTAATATATATATAAATAAATTTATAAAATTATATAAAAATTAGATTTATCTATTATTATATATATAAAAAAAATTAGATTTATTTTTATAATTAATATTATATAAATTAATAATTAAATATTTTTTTAATACAGGTAGTTTACCAGAATTATTAAAATTAAACATATATTTTTAAATAATAAATACTAGATAAGTAATTAGAGTATATATTTATATAAATAAAAATTTATTTTATATTTATAAATAATTAAGTATCTTATTAATAATCTATTAATCTTTTTAAATATATAATAAATATAAAGTTTAAAAATATATTTATTTTATTTTATTTTAAAAAGATTTATATTTAATTTTTTTAAGAATATTAGTAATATTTATATTAGAATTATCTAGTTTAACTTATATATTATATATTTTAAGAACTTTATAAAAATTTATTATTATTTCTAAATCTTTATAAATAATAATATTATTATTTAAAATTATAATTTTATTCTTAAATATTATAAAAATTAATAAGTATAAGTATAAGTTTTATTATTTTTTAACTTATTTTTTTAGTTTTTATTAAGTTTTATATCTTAAATATAATTTGAATAAAAATATTACTAATATCTACTATTAATATATTATAATTAAATAAATAAATATATTTAAATTATTTATTAATATATATATAATAAATATTAATATGATATACTTACTAGACTTAATATTAAATATAATTAAAATTATAAATATTATATTTATGTAAATATATATATATATATTTACTTATTTATTTAAATATAATAATTTAAATATAATAATTTAAATATATTTTTATTAGAATAAAAAATTATAATATATTTATTATCTATAATTATATCTATATATAAATAATATTTAATTATAACTAGTTTAAATATTTTATTAATTATTTATATAAAGAAAAAATTAAAATTAACTAGATATATATATATATAAATAAGTCTATACTATTATATAATTTAGAAATATAATTAAAATTATTAATTAAATAGATTTTAATTTTAATTTTAACTAGTATATTTATTTTTATATATAGTAGAAGAGTTATATATTTTTTATCATATATTAAAATATTAATATAATTATATTTAACTTAGATTTATTTTATAATAAAGAAATTATTATATCCATTAATATAAATTATCTAGATATTATAATTAAAAATAATATTTTTTTAACTAAGTATATTTATACTAATAAATAAATTAGATTTGAATATAAAATTATTAATAATAAAAGTTTTTACTATTATATAAATAAATATTAAAATATTTAATTAAATATTTACTAGTATATTTATTTATTTATATAAAAAATATATATATTAAAAATTATATAAAATATTATTTTATAATAAAAACCAATATTTAATATATTAATACTTTAGATAATACTTTAAAAAATTATATTTTTAATTAATAAAATAAATGTTTTATTAGTTATAATTAAGTTATAATCTATATTAAGATATATATTATTATAAATAATAATAATATATAAGTTTATTGATATAATTATAGTATATTCTATTTTCAAAATTATAAAATATTTATTTATTTCATTAATTAAATATAATAAAATTAAAAAAATAATTTTAAGAATAGTAATTTTTAGTATTATAAATTTTATAATATAAGAAATATATTTATATAATAGTTACAGAATATAAAGATTATATTATAAATAGTATATATAATAATTATTTTAGAATTAATAAAAATAATATATATATTATTATTATTTTTATTATTATTATTATTATCTTTTTAAATAATAATATAATTATTGGAATTTTTTAAAATTATTAGATTAAAAATAATAAAGTCTAGTAATATTATATATATATATTTAGTTTTATATTGTCTTTTTTATATAATTTTATATTTATTTATTTCTTATTTTATTTTAAAATTTATTTATTAATAAAAGCTGGCTAGAACAGGATATCTGGAATTATTAATATAATTAATTATTTTAATAAAATTAAAATAATTAATATTTATTAAACTTATTAATATCTCTGTTCTACTGCTTATTTTTATTATTTTTAGAATTAGATTAATTATTCTTATATAAATAAATTTAGAAAGATTTATAATCTTAAACTCAATATTTCTAGAATTTTTTAATCTAGATATAATAAAAATTTTTATTTTATCTATACTATTAGTAATTTTATTTTTTTATTTACTTATTTATAAGATATTACTATACTAGGTCCTGTTTACCCTCGGCTGACTCCTTCAAATTGAAGGGCCGAGTGCAACAGAGGCATGCAACGCGCGAATTAGAGGAGTAATTTTTTGATTGTCTTTTTAAGCACCCTTTAACAAGCCCCAAAGCAGGTAATTAAGCAACTAACCAAGCAAGTAAGCGAAACAGTAAGTCCTCTCACCAAGCACCTCTCCCCAAGCAAGCAAGTAAGCAAGCGAGCAAGCAAGACAGTAAGGCCTCTCACCAAGCAGCTTCCACCAAGCAAGCAAGCGAGCAAGGCAGCGAGGCTTTTTATTAAGCACCTCCCCCCAAGCAAGCAAGCGAGCAAGCGATTCCTCTTACTAAGCACCTCCCACCAAGCACCTTCTACCAAGCAAGCAAGTAAACAAGCCAGCGAGCTCGAGTAAGCGAGGCAGTAAGGCCTCTCACCAAGTACCTCTCACTAAGCACCTCCTACTAAATAAACAAGTAAGTAAGCAAGCAAGCGCGGCAGCAAGGCCTCCCACCAAGCACCTCCCACCAAGTAAGTAAGTAAGTAAGCAAGCGAGCAAGCGAGGCCTCTTACCAAGCACCTCCTACCAAGCACCTCCCACCAAGCAAGCAAGCGAGTAAGCAAGTAAGCAAGTAAGCAAGCGAGCGAGCGAGTGAGGCAGCAAAGCCTCTCACCTCCCACCTCCCACCAAGCAAGCGAGCGAGCAAGCAAGCGAGGCAGCAAGGCCTCTCACTGAGCACCTCCCACCAAGCACCTCCCACCAAGCACCTCCCACCAAGCATCTCCCACCAAGCACCTCCTATCAAGCACCTCCCATCAAGCATGTAAGTAAGTAAGCGAGCAAGCAAGGCCTCTCACCAAGCATCTTCCACCAAGCAAACAAGCGAGTGAGCAAGCGAGTAAGCAAGGCCTCTTACCAAGCACCTCCTCTGGCCGACGCGGTAAGTAATGGCAGAATACATAGTCACGTGAGTACTCCTTGCCAAGACTAACTCTCATCCAATAATTTCCGTCTATGCCGACCAATCAGAGGCCTAACTACCGACCAATCAAAACGCATTTCAGGAGTCCTCCGAGGGACAGGACCTAGCGTAGGGCTCCGCGCTTACGCGCGTCGCAATAAATATAATACTATTTAATTTAATTAAAAAATTATTTATAATAGTATTTTTTATTTGGTAGTAAATATAAATAAAAAGTTTTAAGTATAAATAAATATATATAATAGATAATTAATTATAAATATTAATAAAAAATCCTTTATAATCTCAAATAATATTTTATATAAAGATCTGAATAAATTTGTTTATATAGATATTTTTTATAAAATATTATTAAATTTTAATAAATAAATAGTTCTTAAAATCTAGAAAAAAATATATTTATAAAATTTATAAAAGTTTTATATAGATTAGTTTATTTATATATAAACCATTAAATTAGATAATAAATATATATATTAGTTAAGTATCATTTATTATAAGTGTATTTATAAATTATAATAAATCTTTTTTTATCATAATACTATATAATATTTTTATATTATATACAATTTTATAATACTTATTTAGAATTTATTTTTTATATTAGAATAGAAATATCTGATTTCTTTTAGTTTTAATATATTTAAATTATAAAGTTTAGAATTTTATTACTTTTACTTATAAAAATAATTATATAAATATCTATATAAATATAAATATTTTAAAAGATAATAGTTATGTAGTAATAGAGATAATTATTAATTATTCTTTTATTAATTCTATTATTACTAGTTTTATTATTAATTCTATTAGAAAAGATATATTAAAATTCTATATTTTTTAATATTAGTTATATATATTTTAAGAATAGTAAAATATTTTTTATTACTTTAATAATATTACTATAATATCTAACTATAGATAGTCTACTATATTATTAATTAATACTATAACCCTGGAATATCTTATTCTGTATCTTTAGACTAGTAGTAGTTAGTCTGTATACTGCTCAGATTACTGTTTCTAGACAGGCTCAGATTTTTGTTTCTATACTGTTACTTATTCCGGCGCCTATACTGGCTCGGATAATTATTCTATTATTTCTTTAGATTCTGCTACTGGCTCAGGCGCTTGTTCCAGTATTCCTTTAGATTCTAATAATAATTTAGATATTTATTCTAGTATTTCTTTATTTTTATACAAATAAGTTATATATTTTTCTTTATTTTTTATTTTACTTTTTAACTTAATTATAGAATTATAAAACTTTTATCTAGATAATTCTAAAGATATTGTTAAAAATATAAAAGAAAATTATATTATTTATAAATAATATTATATTATTTATAGATTAAATAATATCTTATATTTTCTAAATATTTCTAGTTATTTCTTTAAATAATTTAAAAGATTAGTTAATAAAAATATAATATTAAATATATATAAATATATTTATAAGTTAATTTATAAATTTAATTATAAATAATAATCTAATAGTTTCTTTAGCTGTAATATATTAAAAAGTTTTTATATATTTAATTAAATAAAATAAATAAATTTACTTATATATTTATTTATTAATTTATAAAATTTATGAACTACTCTATTTAAAATAATTTATAAATAAATTAATTTACTAGATATAAAAGTCTAAGTTATATTACTAGAGAAATATTTTTTTTAAATATATAAATTATTTTCTATACTATATATTTATCTAGATTTTTAATAAATAATAAGTTAGATATACTATAAAATATAATAAATTGATAATTTAATTTATTTCTTTTTTATTAACTATTATAAAAATAAGAAAATTTAGAATAAAGAAACTAGTTTCTAGTTATATATAATTACTCTAGTATAAAAATATTTATATATTTCATTAAATATAAATTCCGGGAATCTTAAATAGAGTGGCTTAACCTGACTGTTATACCTTAACCTTAACCTGACCTTAACCTGGCGGTCAGGTTAAGGTATAAAAATCAGATTAACCGCAGGTATAACAGTTAACCGCGGTTAACTGTTATACCTGAATCAGGCAGAATCAGGCAGAAATATAAATTTTATTATATCTTATAATATTTAGACTTTACTAGATACTTCGAATATCAGAATTATCTGAATTCTAAAAGACTAATAGATATATATACTATTAAAAAGCTTTTGTTAGAGCAAGAGTCTGTCTACTATATAAATATATATAAGAATAAATAGATAAATTATAAGAATTAATAAATTAATAAAATAAGAAGAATCTAAAAAAGATTAAAGA